TTGACTACATGTCAGAATCACCTGGGAAGCATTTGAAAATCTAATTCCCAGGGCAATTTAAAGAGAACCCCTGGTTGGGACCTAAGCATCAGTCTTCCTTCCTTTCTTTCTTTCTTTCTTTCTTTCTTTCTTTCTTTCTTTCTTTCTTTCTTTCTTTCTTTCTTCTTTCTTTTCTTTTTTTTTTTTTTTAATTTTTTTTTTCTTTATTGATTTTAGAGAGAGAGAGACAAAGATAGAAACATCAATGAGAGAGAACATCGACTGGCTGCTTCTTGCACGCTCCCCACCGGGGACTGAGCCCACAAACCGAGCATGTGTCCCGACTGGGAATGGAACTGGTGACCTCTTGGTGCGTTGAGTCAATGCTCAACCACTGAGTCACCCCAGCCAGGGCAACATGTATTTATTTTTATAACCACTCATGAAAGCTCAGCAATTAGAGCTGGGAAAGGATTTCAGTCAAGTTCAGTCTCCTTGCCCTGAGCCAAGAAAAGGCAAGTTTATGTTATAGCCGAAACACTTGGACCCAGAGCAATGAGGAGGCTTGCCTAAGGCCCCACACTTACTACACATGGACTAGAAAGTAGTATCCAGGTGTTCTGCCTGCAAGAATAGTGCTTGGTCCACAGCTTCATACAACCAGAACCACAGGGTTCAGAGAAGGCCTCTCCATCCCATGCAGGTCCACTCTTAGCAAGCAGTTGTTCTACAAAAATGAGAAGACTGGAACATTACTAAATATTTCATAAAGGTGAAAATTATGTTAATGATCATAATCAATTGGCCAACTTTGATTTGTTTGGCTCAAAGTGAGAAATTGATGACCATCTTTATTTTGTGGGAAAATAAACTTTAGAAATATAAATCAGAGGGAAAAAATAAAGCCTAAAGCTTTACTTTGACAAAGTTTAAAAGCAAAATTTTACAGGAGTTCTATTGAAGTGAATTAAATGTCCAGATATTTAGCTAATAATTGTAGACAACCTTCGTTCTTTTTTATTCCTCACAACAAAACAGATTTGCAGCTTTGAACTGAAAGAGAGCTTCCAAAATCTCTGACTCGGGGACTTTCCAGGTGTAGAAGGAGACATAGTTGGCATTTTTCTTTAGTAAATATGTAAAGAAGGAAATCAAATACCCACCTTCAAAATCATCTGCTCTTTTACCAATTAATCTGCGTGCTTATTAGACGTATGTCATTTGTGGAATCCCTGTATATCTTTTAGATCCTTCTTGTCTTTATCAACAAAAACCTCTGAATCAATAAATAAACTTGGTAAGATATAAAGGTGATTACTAGGCTTATTAAATAAGCAAACGTGGTAACAATAGAAATATTAAGAGGCACCCCACAGATCTAAATTACTTCCTGTTGTAAGTTTACTTGAACTTATGCAGAGAAAGAATTCCAAAAAGTATATGTATATTACAGGTTTTTTCTTATCCTTAACTGCATTTTTAACTGCCCCAAAATATTTGCCCATTTAGTGGAAACCTGGAGAAAACCCAGTGGTCTTTGTTAATGAGAATTTTGAGACCCTAATTTATCTGCCTCGCGAACCTCTGCACCATTCAAATTATCTAAAAGCAAAGCACATCCATATCATAATATTTGGTAATAACCATTCCCTGTTCCTCAGTTGCCTCCTCGAGCACTACAGCAAAGAAATGCCAAGGCTATGACTATGGGACAAGACAACCAGACAATTCAAAGAAAATCAGTCAGGCCTGCCTTTCATCATCACACAGATCTTTCCCTAATGGAAGAAACAATAAAAAACAACAACAGTTGTTCAATTCATTCATATTCTGACAGGTGGTACTGAGTGCATTACACACAATTTCATTGCTTTTAAAGAGGAAGTCAACCAAATCTAATTTAGGCATTGTGCAAATCACTTCAACAACTGGCTGCAAGCTTGATCTCCATCGGTGCTGGCATTGTGCAAGCCCAGGATACTGAGTGACCCAAGAAAGTGAATACCAAAAGAATTACCCAGATCATTTTAGACCCGAGGGTGGCAAATTTTTCTGCAAAGGGCCCCGTAGTAAATAGTTCAGGCTTTGCAGGCCGCATGATCTCTGTGGCAACTGCTCAACTTTCCTGTTGTAGCAAAAGTGGCCCCAAACAATACGCAAACAAACAGACATGGCTGTGCTCCTGTAACAATGTGTTTACAATCACAGGTGTTTGGCACTCCGGCCATTGTATGCAGACCCCTGTTTTAGAGCCTTGGAAAGCTGTTGTAAGGGCCTCTCACTCAAGGATATTTTGATTGTGCCTTTTTAAACTGTTCTAATCAAACTGTGGGAAAAGATGAAGGAATTTGTTGTAACCCTGATCATTCAAGATGGGCCCAGGGAGGTGTCTCAGGAAGAAGAGTGCTGTCATCACTGTCATTACTTATCAAGAAACTTGAGGACACTTTACATTCTCTCATTTTTCTCTGACAGAAACCTTGTAAGGCAGCAATTAGAGCCCCCATTTTCTAGGCCTTTAAGAACATGCGGTTGAATAATTCAGTTGCAGAGCCAGCTTTCAAACCCAGACTCGTCCCACTCCATTGCTCCAGCCGTTTCTGCGGCACTGGTTGTAGATGGCCTGACAAGGCTTCTTGTCGGGTGGATGTTAGTGCTTCACATCCACAAGGGACCCGCAGGGCCAAGTGCAGAAGCCAGGGGGAGAATGTGCAGGTGGAGTGATTTCTCTGTCCAGTGGATCAGTCCAGCAAAGCTCAAGTCTACGGATGAGGCTTGAAGATTTTCACTTCTGTGTGCCAGCACTTCTGAGCTGATCTGCACCAGAGCCTGTGTTCACATTTAGTCCACAAATGGGGGTCAGGGACCCGGTAGAGAGGAGACAACAATTACAAAATGAATGTTTTCTTAACCCTTTCCAGAACCTCATAGTACAGTCATTTCAGCTTAGGCCTCAAGGGTGTTTTCTGAAAAAAGAAAGTGCCTCTTCAGCACTCTTGATGTCTGATTTCAAGCCTGCCATTCCCTCAGGTGATTCGAAGTAGGCTGACAAATGCTGCCCTGTTTTTACTGCTTTTCCCACAGGGTTGAGTCACCCAGGTGCCCCGTGCCCTAGACAAGGGCCTTACTTGGATTCAGGGTGCGAGGATGGGTCCAGTGCCCAGAGCCTTTTCTAAGTTTCTTTAAGGGGCCAAAGACACTTAAAGAGACTCTTTGCTGTGTGCAAATAACCGGACAACGTTCACCCGGTTGTTCCACTGCCAAGCTTGCAATGATGGGGTCTTGTGCCCCTGACTTGATTTTAATTACTAACCGGGGTATGCGCAGAAAACATGCCCCAGCATTCCCTTCTGAAAAAAAATCTAGTCTCTTAGGGGGAATTAAAGAAGAAAAAAATGCAGTGCGTAACCAAGAGGGGAGACTAGGGACACAAGGAAGCAGCCCCTGTCTCAGGCACTGAAGCAAAACCAGGCAGTCAACAGCACCGCGGGCGGCTCAGCGCACTAAGAGGAGCTCTGCGGAACAGCACCATCTTTACCGCATGTCTCCTGTGAGAAACCTAACATTTAAAAATAAAAGGAGAGTGACTTGCTCAGAGTAGATGGGAACAAAAGCAGAAGTCCCTCCAGGGCTCACATAAAACCCACTGAAGGGCCCTGAGCGTGAGCGCACAGGGACCCAGCAGGCCGGCGCCCGAGGCATTCCCTGGGGCTGGCCACCCTGGTCCCTGCAGGCTCTGGTCTTGCTCTGTCCTCCACACTGCAGTTATACACCGCCCATACTAGGACGTCCCCAATTATCTTGGAAGGGTTCCACAACTTCCAAAGCCAAATTAGAAGTCATTTCTTTATATTTAAAAAATTTGCATCTTGTCAATATCAAATGATGATGAGACTTCACAATCTGAGAAATTTTGAAATCACTCCTCCATATTACACATTAACCAGCTCAATTCCAGAGAGTTTACACAAGAAATAAAGGAACAATGAATTGGTGATAAAGTGACTGTAAGTTATGTTTTAATCAATGAAGTTATATTTTCAGAACTTTAAGGGCTCCAATAAATATCTATTTGTAAAATAAATACACTCCTTAATTTATCTTTTTCTGTAAATCTAGATTCTCTTATATTAAATTTGTTTGAGGTAGGGCGTACCTGAATTCATTAAAAGGCATTTTAGAGACCAATAGAGAAATTTTTTGGTAATATTTCTTTCTTGAGGAAGTACAGAACTGAGCCCCAATAAGGCTCAACTCTCATGAGGCCATTGAGTTGACTTTGTTATTTTGAGAAAGAAATGTTGTAGATATCTCTGTATGATTTTAATTATTAATAACAGGAGTCTCTGTTCAGTCCCACATAATGGAAAATAAACTTCACAGTTGTTCCATCCAACTCCAGGGATAAACATGAGGGTAAAGAGACACCTGCTGCCCTTTTGTGCTGGGCCACACCAGCCTTGCCACAGAAAGGGAAGAATGATAAGAGGCAGGACAATGAAGCAAGTAAACCCACACTTGACAAAGGCCACCTTCCACGTCGTCCCCAGGCACTCAGAGCAAATCACCACGTTGGCAGGCAGAAAGCTAAGCGACTCAGAGAGAAGCAGGCCCACGGAACTGAACCACGGGCTGAAGAGTAGCTGTTTATCAAAGAAAGTCATGGAAAGAACTCCACAGCTTTCCCCTCCCAGCCCCAAACCAGTATCACAGTTGACTTTGTTGTGTGAATCATAAACTGCCCCTTCCTCACCACAGTGATTCATGCGCAGCAGCGAAGGCATGGCGAGCTTGGAACAGTATTTCGTTCCCCTCCAACCTGGAAAATCAGCATCACTGCTGACGGGCTGGTTTCTCCACCAGGCTCTGTCTCCCCCACCTCTCTCTTCCCTGCTCTCCTGGCTGGGAACGCTGACCCCTCTGCCCCGTCCCACCACCACCTCCCCGGTTTCAGGCTAATTGGTAGCCCCCAGCCCCTCCCACGCTGCTATGGCTCTGACAGCCACAGCCAACCCACTTACATTTTTGCCAGAGCATGGCCTGTGACAGGATGTTGCCTTTTCTCTTTGAAGCAGACAGTTTGGCTTCTTTAATGTGAGACCTGGGTGTGCTTTCCTCCAGTGTAGCCACTGCTTGCTCAGAGGCCGTTTCCTCGCGTTTTAAAGGCCCGGGTTCCCGCCGCGCTGCAGCGCAGCGTCATCACATCCTCCCACCTCGGGCACCTGTGTGCTACGTCTCCGGTGAGGCTGCCTGTCACCCACTGCGCACACCCAGAGGCCCCGCTACAGACACTTGACTGGGGACCAGCCAGCTGGATCGACAACAACCCAGCACAGAGGCCACCGTCCGGTCCTTCAGGCATGGCCAGAGTGTGTGATGTGTGGGTGAGTGGGAAAGTGTGCATGAGTGTGGACATGTGTCAAGTCTTGTGCCTCCCCACACAAACAATGAGCCCAAGACCCCGTGGAAAACTCTGGGTTTTCTATGGTCCCCGTTCAGGCTGCTACACCAGGATGTCAGCAGGACCCAGTCCACCATGGGCCCCGCTTGACAGGAAATGCTATTCCCAGGGGTCACTGGTTCTCACTTATAGGAGGAAACACCTGTAGTCCCTTCAAGCCTCACTAAACAACCTCCTCATTCTTTTAGCATTGCTTTTCTGTTTATCCCATTTTAAAACACAACAGCCTCTCTCCTTGCCCCCTAGCCACCACCATAATGGCAAGTTTTAATCATGCTTAAATATGGGGGACACTGGTTCTGACCGTCGTATGCCCACAGAGGAAGAGGCCAACTCACTCAGGAAAGAAGACACCATGCTCTTCGACTAGTGCTGGTTACTCAGAGGGAATTTGTGGGCACAGTATGAGCTCAGCCTTTGTCCCAGGGCCCACCCACCTGTTAGCATAAAGCTTCTAGAAGGAAAGTAAGGGGGTTCATCGTCAGATAGTGTTTAGGGTGTTAGGCCACAGACTCCTCCTGAGTTTGGAAGCCTTCTGCCACTGTGTATGTGAAGTCCATAAGCTCAGGCCCCAGTGACCCACAGTTTGAAGTCAAAACCACCTGGTGAGTCTTACACAACCTACACTGAATCATGCCCTTCTCCCTTTACAAAACTTCCACCTGCTCCCTTCTCTACAGAGCCTGAGGCACATAAGACCTCTCACAGTCTTGCCCTTGTCTGTCTTTCCAGCCCATCACCCACCACCACCCTTCCTACCCCACCACTTGTCCTCAGTGACGTCTAAGCTGCTCTCTGCATATCCATGCAATTCCCTGCCTTTGACCTTGCTACCCTCTCTTGCCAGGTTCCTCTTTCCCAGCTCCTCACCTGAAAATCACCTCTTCATTTTTCAACATCCAGCTCAAACAGCACCTTTTTCAGTGAAAAATTTTCTGACCCACCAAACCTCCTGGCCCAGAAAATATTAGCCCTCTTTCCTCAGCTCTTGGAGCACTTTATTATATGGCAGCAAATTTTGCATGACTCTGTAGGTTCAAGGCGGTTTCTCTTTGTCTCCTGCTCTTCACAGGACCTGGCACATACCTGTCCCTCAATAAACATTCAGTTAATGAAGTAATGAATTTAATAAATTACTGTTACTAATGGGTTGGTTTGTGGCAGTTCTTGAGAAACATTTTCCACATAAATGCCTCACTGAAAACAGAAGTCTACTCCTGGCTGAGTTTTGAGCCCTCGCTCCAAAGCCTCTGGATTTTAGGACATGGAGCACCCCATGCTTTCAGTGGCCTGACAGGGAGCAGTGTCACGAGGCCTTGGGCCACACTGAGAAGCGTCCACTGGAAACAGACACATCCATCAGGCCTGACTCAGGCCTTGGTTCTCATCAAGGCTCTGCCACTCACTGGCTGTGCCCCCTTAACCAAGTCAGGTAACTCTTCTGAGTCTCAGTTTTTTTGTTTATGAAATGAAGAAACAGCTTCATTTCATAATGAATATTTTTTCATTGATTTTCAGGTAGAGTGGGTGGAAGGAAGGGAGAGAGAGAGAGAAACATCGATGTGAGAGACACACATCTACTGGCTACCTCCCGCACGACCCCAACGAGGGCTGGGGATGGAATCACAACCGAGGTACATGCCCTTGACCAGAATCAAACTCTCGACTCTAACTGCTGAGCCAAACTGGCCAGGGCAGAACTTCTGAAAATTCATCTTTGTTTCTCTTCACAGGCTTAGCTAGCATAATGATCTCCATGAAGTAATAATAATAATAACTATGTACTATGCACCAAACCCCATGTTAAGCCTTAATTACATTATCTCGTTGCCACAGCTCTGAGGAAACTTCTATCCATATTGTTCAGAGAAACAAAGAGATGTTTGGGAAATCTGATTTACCCAGTGTCACAGGGCTATTAGGTATAGGTTGGGTGTCAGACCCAAGTTCATATGACTAGAGGCAGAGTTTTAAATAACTACACTAATAGATGTTCATTAAATTGAAATCAGTGAAAGACAAATGTCAGCCATGTTTAATAGTAGTAATATAGAACCACTGATACTAAAACTTGGAGCAGAGCAATAGATGTTTATATCACCTGGGATAAATTCTTGTCCTCTGGAAAGAGAGGAGGAAGAGGACAATCCCAGAGTGCTCTGACAAGTCAAATCTTGTACAGTGGCAGAGAAGAAAATGTCAGCTGGCAAGTCTACCACCATGGCCAGCTATACACCCTGCACTTCTGACATCCTTGATGCTCAGAAAGTAGATTTCAGTTCAGTGCTTCCAACGAAGACCCTAGATATCAATGATCAAATATGGGCAGATACTTGGGAACCAAGACTAGATCAAAATGGCAGATATTTGCTGAAAAGATATTTTCTGTGGCTCAGAATCTAAAGTCAAACTACATGGCATAGTTTAAAAGAAGACAAGGTGTCTACATTTATGCAATATCTCAAGAAGCAGAGAAACAAACAAAAATCTGTTAATGCCATCCATATGTCTCCAAATATAGTTGTGCTCACATTTTTAAAAATTCTATATACCAAAATTAAAACTTCTAAAATAATTCAGTAAAGAGCACTGATCCATATTGCAAAAAGAATGCTAAGCTTTGCAAAAAGAATTCACACAGACTTCATTTCTTCCTTCACTCAACAAATATTTACTCAGTGCTCATTATGTTCTGTCATCTATATTAAGCCTTGTTTTTCCCTTTTCATTTGGGCTTTAACCATCCTCTTTGTCCAAGGCACTTTATCCTCAATGGTCCATGAAAGATCCCTCTCTTATTTATTCATTCATTCTTTTGTTCATTTATCATTCATTCATTCACTTTCTTCTACACCTTCTTGTACATATTTTTTTCCTGTCTCCACTCACCTTCAAGAGTCAACTATCATTTCATTCCAGCAATTATTCTCATTTGGTTGATGTCAATCCTTTTATTTGTAAATAAAATACATTTGTATCCTGTTCTTATAGAATGTGTATTGTTTTGCACTCCTGGATTTTTAATTGATGTAAGTGGTATAGTATTTGAGAGCTCATACTGTTTCCTATTTCATCACTACATTGTAAGATCCATCCACAGTGCTATGCATATATTCCATCTGTCACTTTAAAGGCTTGAAAGTATTTCACAGAATGCAAGTGCTGCGTTTTACTTAACCAGATTGTTTCTAACTCTCCCTCCACAAAGCAAAGGATCAAAAAACATGCTGATACATATCCTTGTACAGAGGCATGTGAAAATTTCCTTGGGGTTGTATGCCCAGAGGTAGAATGGCTAGGTCAAAAAATATGTATATATGTGAGATGCCTAAATACAACCAGATTGTTCTCCAGGCTCCCTGCAACAGTTCATGAGGCTTCCATATATCTATTTCACCGCCAGACTCGGCATCACCCAGCTTTCTAATTATTGCCAACCTAAAAGATGTAGTGATAGTTTGCTGTGGTTTTATTTTACATTACTAATAGTAATAAATGTGAGCATCTCTTCATATACTTGATAACCTTCTGAATTTTCTCTTTTCTAAAATTTCTGTTCATTCCTTTGTCGATTTCTCTACTGTTGCTGTATTTTTCTTATTGATTAGCAGGTTTGTATATTCTACATGTAAAATTCTAGGTATTATCAGTTTTACTCAATGCAAATTTCTTCTCTTAATCTGTTACCTGTTAACTTCATTCATGGTGTCCTTTTTAAAAATAGATATGCTTACCTTATGTATATAGACCTGCCTTTGAATTCTATTTTATTTCATTGATCTCATTGTCTTTTCTTGTACTAACCCTTTACAAGTTTCATTATTATTTATTACAGTGCATCTTAAAATTTTAGAATAAGTTTATCAAGTCCCTCAAAAAAATAATTCAACCAGAATTTTGATTGGTTTTTATTTAATTTATTGATTGCTTTAAGGAGGGTTGGTATTGTTGTGAGCAATTCGGCCCATCGAAGCATGGGATGGCTCTCCCTCTATTGAGATCATATTCTATGTTCCTTATTATTAGAGTTTTAAAATTTTCCCCACAGAAGTCTAGAATAGTCTTAGATAAATTAATTTTTAATTATTTTATTACTTAATTGCTTGTCTACTTTTGACATTGTGAATAGCATCTTACTTTTTATTATATTTTCTAGTTGGTGTAAAATATTCTAATATTTGTGAGTTTATTTTATTTTGGCAAACTTATTGTACTCTCTTATTAGTTTTAACAGTTTGTCTGCTAGTTATGATGATCTTTCTAGGGAGAAGACCATCTCTTCTGAAAACACTGGCCGTTTTATCTTTTCCTTTCCAGTCTTACATCTCTATTTCTTTCTTCTCCTTACAGTTTTGGTCAGTCCTATGACAAACTACAATGGTGTTAGTGGTTATTTTCATCTTGTCCTTGTCTTGAAGAAATGATGAAGTTAGATGCCTAAAATATTTAGAAAATATGAAATATGTGAGATTAAAACTGCTCATGAGCAAACAGTAGAGGTAACGAAAATCTAGCACCCAGACACATTATAATACGATTTAAAAACAACTAATACAAAGAGGAAATTCTAAAAGCCCGCTGAGGGAAAGTGTATTGATAGCTGAGGAACAGAAATGCATTGATGTATGCTTCTCAAAGATGCACACAGACGATTAAGAAATATTTTTAAAGTATTGAAGAAAAGAACATCAAACCTATAATTTTAAATACAGTCAAAGTATAATTTAAATATTGCAACGTAACAAATATTCTCAAACGTACAAGATCTCAAGATAAAATTGTTCTTTGAGGAAGTACTGAAATAA